CCCCGCTTAGCGCGGGCTCCTGGGGCCGCACCATGGCGGGTATCGCAGCCAAGCTGGCCAAGGACCGGGAGGCGGCCGAGGGGCTGGGCTCGCACGAGAGAGCCATCAAGTACCTCAACCAGGACTACGAGGAGCTGCGGAACCAGTGCCTGGAGGCCGGGGCGCTCTTTCAGGACCCCTCCTTCCCTGCTTTGCCGTCGTCCCTGGGCTTCAAGGAGCTGGGACCCTACTCCAGCAAAACTCGGGGCATCGAATGGAAGCGACCCACGGTAGGAAGCGCGCGGCAGGATGCCAATCAGGGTGGGGTGCAAGTCCTCTAGGGATATAAGGGGACATGGCCCAGGGCCTGGGGCAGGGCAGACCCAAGCCAGAACACTGCAGGCCCCACGACCCACTCTGTGCTGCCCTAGATTCCATGCAAAGAAGCTTCCCCTGGAACCACCCATACTTCTCAGGACAGGTTAGGGGCATGAGGGCCCCCAAGTCCCATTAGCATGACCTCTAAGCAAGCCGCCTTTAGACTTCACAAAAACTCAGAGTGAACTTTTATTAACTCTAGTAGAAAAATGCTGGGAAACAATATCCTACTAGAATAAAAAGTCAGTGTCTAACTCCGGTTCTGTCTGCTTGGGAGAGAGGCCTGGTCATTTCCTGACCAGGATGGTCTCAGGCAGTCGTGGTGGTTAGGTTTATCCAGTGAAGTTTCTTGTTTGCAAAGGGCTGCTAGCTGAAACCTCCCATAACATTGACACTGAAAACTAACAAAGGATACGGAGGTGCTCAAGGAGCTGGTTCCTCAACATTCTACTAGCTGGGGAATCTTCACCTGGGAACCCCATAAGCCCTTCCAAATCATCCTGCGCCTCAAGATCTGGGTTGTGTCCTCTTGCCTTCCCAAGCCTTGGGACAATTTCTGCTGTCTAATCTACTTGTCCATTCTGAACTCCTGGTGGTCCCCTCTTCTATGGGACACCTCATTAGACTTCTCCTACCACACCTAGAGGAAGCTTCTTAGAAAATCTAACTTCTGGATTCCTTTTATGGGAATAAGGCTTCCTGCTCTGCTCCCACACACCTGAGCCTTCCTGGTCACCTTCTATTATCATAAAGTCTTCCCTTAATTATCAAGAACTGGAGGACCAGGACATGGAGCACTTGGGTTCTCCTGACCTCAAATTCCCAATCTTCCTGCTTCAGCCTCCTAAGTGATTGGAATTACAGGTGTGCATCACCGCATCCTGCTGGGGTTCTCATTCTTGCTAACCTGCTGGGTGACCTTGGGCAATTCATTTAACCATGTTGTGCTTTCATCTGTCCCTTTGTCTAAAACAAGCCTTGATGCTTAAATATTATCTCTTCTCTGGCCCATCAGGTGCAGAGAAGGGGCTTAGTTCTTTCTTACCTTGGGCCCTCTCACCTGCCAGGCATATTCTTTCCTGGGTTTTTGGAATCTGGCTCATTCACATTCTTTAGAACTTTGTCACATGTCCACTTCCCAAAGAGAACTTTCTTGCCCATTCTTAGCAGCCTCTTCCTCCTTGATGTTACTCTGTATCACTACCCTCTGCTGATTTCCTTCATAGCACATTCACAGTGTATAGATGTAATTACAGGGCTAGGGTGTAACTCAGTGGTAGTGCACTTGCCTAGCATGCCTGAGGCCCTGGGTTTGATCCCCAACAACACACATACACACACAAAATGTAATTACATATATTTGCTTGTCCTCTTAATGAATTGCAGGAACCATGTGTATATTACTTACCAATATACCCACTAGTGCCTAGCATGAGCAGTGCCCCTTCACTACTTCATTCATTCATTCATTAATATTTATTCACTCATTTATTCATTCATTAATATTTATTGAGTGCCTATTATATGACAGGCACTGTCCCAAAGGCTTAGGATACATCAACGGACAAAACAGACAGTGATTACTTATAGAATGAATGAACATAAGATTGGCAGTAGTTTCAAATGTATTCTAGTTGTCAAAGTGATACATAAGTAGAAAATATGTTCACTTTACTTTTGTATAGCACTTTATAGTGTACATAGCAAATCCACACACTCCTTTACTTATTATTTCACTCAGTAAGCATTTATTGAACATCTACTATATGCCAGGCATAATACAAATAGTGCAGATAATTTCTATCTCTACAGATTTTTAGCGGGGGCAGGCATATCTCCCAATACTTGGAAATGCGTGTGAGACTTGCAGGTAGGGAAATAGATCTAGAGCCATTCTAGGCAGTGGGAAGGCAGGCTGTGCACTGCACAACCAAGGGTGAGTGTGCTATGATTATTCTCATTAAGCAGTTGAAAAATGGAGGCTTGGGAAGGTTACATACTTGCTCAGTCAACCAGGTGTGCAGGATGGAGCCAGGTCTAGCCTGTGCATGGGTAGAACCCACCCCTTACTGCTGCCCTCTCTGCCCTCTCCCACCTTGTCGAACACTGCAGGTGTTGGGCAAGGGGAACAAATCATTTCCACTGGATTTGGATATAAACAAGTCATTAATGACCATAGCAGAGTGGAAAGGTCGAGCAAAAGCCAGATTGCTGTAGACTCCAGAGTAAGGGGACTGGAAATGAAGAAGAATGTGGTTCATTAATTTAAGAAGGGTGTCTGTGAAGAGAAGGAAAGGGAGAGAGGGAGAGAGGAGAAAGAGAGAGAGAGACAGAGAGGGAGAGAAAGAAAATGGAAAGTAGTGTGAGATCTGGGATCTGAGAGGCTGTTTTTTCAGAGAGTAACTTGAATGTGTTGAGATGTTGAGTCACCAGAGAGGAAGGGATGAAAGATAAAGGTGGGAGGAGATCATGAAACGGGGTCCCTGAGGAAGTGAGAGTAGGGGAAGCCGCAGGGCGGGGCAGAGCCCTGCTGAGCCTGGCAGAGGAGCCAGTTAGTACTGTAGAAAGAAGGGACCCACTGCTCTCTCTCAGAGGGGATTTCACCATACTGGCAAGAGAGTGACTCCAGATGGGGAGGGGACAAAGCAGGAAACAACTACAGTCCCAGTGAGGTCCAGGGCCAGTGCAGGCCACAGTGAGGAGAAAGCCAGCAACATCCAACTTGGGCACTCGAGATCCTCCCAACAGCCAGTCAGAAGGAGCAAGGGCAGGTGCTGTCAGGCCCCATTTCTCCCCTAAGAGGCTTATGACTTGCTATATTCAGCTGGCTGAACTCAGCCTCAAACCTGCAGGTCCTATCTCCAAGTTCAGTGGTATTATCAACTTCCTCTTCAACAATAATAATACCAGGTAACATGTAGGGAATGCTTATCACAGTTATCTCATTTAGCTCTCAGAACAAGCTTTTGTGGCAGGTACCTTGGTCATCGTCATCCCCAATTACAGATGAGGAAACCGAGGGATTAAGAGTTTAACTTGGTCCAGCAGCTCAGGAGGCTGAGGCAGGAGGATCACGAATTCAAAACCAGCCTCAGCAAAAACGAGGTGCTAAGCAACTCAGTAAGACCCTGTCTTTAAATAAAATACAAAATAAGGCTGGGGATGTGGCTCAGCTGTCAAGTGCCCC